GCTTTGGCCCAGCCACTTCATTAGCTCTGGAGCTACTTGTACTTGTCCTCCGCTCTTCCTCAGTAGCATGTTGGACGCCTTCTGACCTGAGGGGTTCATCTTCCAGCGTCATATCTTTTACCCTTTTGCTTCTGTCCATCGAGTTTTCTTGGCAAAGATACTGGAGTGGTTTACCAGTTCCTGCTCCAGGTGGATCGTGTTTAGTCAGAACTCTCCACTATGACCTGTCCGTCTTGGGTGTCCCTGCACGGCGTAGCCCATAGCTTCTTTGAATTATTTAGGCCTCTTCACCACGATAAGATAGCAATCCATGAAGGGGCAGCAATCCGTGAAGGAGATAGTAGTCATGCAAGAGAGCAATTATAGCTTGTTTACAAAATTACTAGACATTAACCCCCTCCCCCAAATCTTCCTCCTATAGAATACATGTTTTCAAGTTCCTTCACTTTAGCCGCCATGGTCTTACTTTCCAACCCATCTAGGACTGCTTTCCTCCAAAAATTCAGCCTCTCTCTCAGATGGAGTCTAGCATGGAACTGTAGCCTGCCATGGAAGGGGAACAACTGCTGCAAAATACAGTGGTGCCTCGCTTAATCCTGGCATGGAAGGGGAACAATTACTGCAAAATACAGTGGTGCCTTGCTTAGCGATCACTCCATTGAGCGTCGAAATCACTTCGCAATGGGGTTTTGGCCATCGCAAGAGCGATTGCTTAGCGATGGTCCCTATGGGGAAAAATCGCTTTGCGATGATCGCGGGGAAGCAATCATGGCAAAGTGACCCTTTTTAAACAGCTGATTGGCGGTTTCAAATTGGCCGCCGGAAAAACATAATGACCACCCGCTGTGTGTCCTCGCTTTAGAGGCACCGAAAATGGCCGCCTCTGTCATTTCTATGGTCATAAGGTTAGTTTCGAAGCTCATAGGAACGCATTAAATGCGTTTTAATGCATTTCTATGGTCTTTTAAAAATCGCTTAGCAACATTTTTCCTGGAACGGATTAACATTGCTAAACAAGGCACCACTGTAGTAGTGCATGTTCCCTTCCATTATCCAGTCCAGATCTCAATTTTTGTAAGCTTGCTCACAGTGCATGGTGACTAGGTGAGAGGGTCTAGACTCCTCAAAATAAAATCCTTCATAGCTTGGCATCAGGCAACATGGTTAAGGCAAAAAACACAGAAGTGAATGCAGAAAACCTGACACATTGTTCAGAAAAGTAGACCATATTACCTGAGTTGTAAGCTGGTACTGTAGATGTTCTAAAGCGAGAAGATGGTGCTCAGTTTCTCTGACAAGTTCATTAGGAGATAGTACACCAGAGAAAGTATGAAAATGTGACTCCTTTGATCCCTTAGAATCCTGATATCCTATAAAAATAATCAAAGAAAAGGTATTGATGTGTTCTGGATTCAATTTAACTACTCATTTTTAGAAACAACATTTTGCCTGTAACTAATTGCTCATGGTATCCATAATTGCACAATGTGGCAATATTTCAGAGTTTAATGATAAAGAGATTTGAATAAAAAGGCCTGGGAATTCTTTTTCTGGGCAATGACCTTTACATCTTGACTCTGACCATAACAGCCTGGCCATAGAATTCAAACTTCAAAATGAATTTCTTTGACAAAGCATCTATTTTGGCCTCCAGTTTGGTATACAATAATGTCATTCTGCACTGTTTGACATTTCCAGGAAAAAACCAAACAAGTACTTATTTCAGGATTCTTTCAAATACACAATACATACGGGAAAGAGGTATGGGTTTTTCTTTTGCTGTTGTACAACATGTAGTTGCCACCGTGACCTTCTGAAGGTTCCCACAAGCAGCACTTCAATCTTCTAGTTCTTTCATCTCAAGAAGCTAAGCTACTTGTGTATTGCTAAGATTCTTCTACCCAAGAGGTTTACCTTCCTTTGAAGCTACTCCAAGTTCTGCTCTTAGTCTGTTTACCATTTCTAGCAATTGTTGTTTCTCTTTGCTCAGACCGCAGATTTTTCTTGCAGCTTCCTTCAATCTGCTTTGTATCAGTCGCGCATAGTTTCCTGTTTGTCTATGGGGTCCATCACCTGCTCCTATCCCAAACAGTGGTTGCCTCAGATGTACAGAATCCTCCTGAAGTCTCTTAGCCACAGGGTTCTAGAAGGGTAACAGCATATAGATTTTTTCCGATTTAACAGTAATGAAAGATAGTGTTCAGTATGATACGTAATCTGAAATCTTGTTGTTTAATGAGGCATGCAGAAGGCAAACGATGTAACATTCATTCCCTTCTAGCTGGCAATTAAAGATTCTCAGGAGCACAAATGCCTGCTGGCTTGGTGTGTGCTTGAGTATCCAGTGGGGACTTGTTAATTGTCATTTAACAGTGGTTGAATTTTATGTTGTTTGCCTTTCACATCCATAAATTAAGCAACATATTTCAACTATAATCTGATATGGCACAGAATCAATCAAGGTCTAAATGTCAGTCGTTAGGGGTGTGTCTTTTTTAAATATTATTCCAACTTCCAGAATTCTGAGAGTTCTAGCCTACTTCTAAGACTTTTAGCCATTTCCTGTTGCAAAGGCTCTTGGGAGGAAGCTGTCAAAATGTTTCAAGGAGTTGGCAGTGTCATGCTGCTCTATGCACTTCTTCCCAGGAGAAGAAGGCCTAAAAAAGGTCTCAGCCTTGAACCGGGTGAGTGAAATGTCCGTATTATGTGTTTGTAGGCTGGAACTCCTGGGGAATTCTTGAAGCTGGAGTCCAAAACAAAACAATGGCACATGCCTAATAGCCACCATGGACAGATTAAAATTTGTGACGCAATGTGCAGAGAAAGATACTCTACTAACCCAGGTATTCCTAAATTTCTTGCCATGGCACACTAGTATGTAATTAGAAGTTCTGAAGAATGACCAAAAAACAAAACAAAACAAAACAAAAATCCCCAAATAAAAAGCCAATATTGTGGATTAATGTGCCACTTATGAGCCCTCTTGGGGAGGGAGGGAATCCTATGCAGCACTGGTTGCTTCAGTCACTGCCAGTACATGGCACTAGCATCATCACAAGCAGGAAGGGGAGAAAGACACACTCTTGATAAGAGTCTGCACTTTAGCATCATTTGGGCTTCAGTTCTGGATTCATGTTGCCTTACACAGAGGCAGGCAGCAGCTTCATATCAATTCAGACCCTTAGTCCTCTTTGCCCATTATTATCAACTCTTATCAGCTGTACTGCTCTAGGGTTTTTGGCAAGATCCTTTTTTAGCCTCACCTAGGATACTTTTTATCTTCTGGTGGAATCTCATTCAAGTATTAACTTAAATTAAAACATCTTAAAACAGAGGACATCAGAGTCCTATTCAGGCATCAGAAAGCCTGTAGAACATATAGAAGTATATACAATAGGAGAGGAGGAGAGGTGCAATCTAGTTCCATCTTCCTTTGTCATCACTTCTGCTGCCCTCCTATTCATGGAAGGTACTGACTGTGAAAGGGACAGCCTCTGCTTGATGTTATGTCTCTTCACATGAGCTGGAACTGTAGAAAATCAAGGCTTTGATCTAGAGGGAGTGCATGCAAGGACAGTCAAATTCTGCCTCTTCAGAGTCACTGTCCTTCTACATACAGAAGGGTGAAGAAATTGGGAATGGGAGGGGTTGGGCTAGAACACTTTCTTCTGCAGTGAGCCTATGTATTTTCTAATACATAAATGATATGTTAGGTTCTAGACTTATTCCATGCCAATAAGTGCTTCTAGGTATGCAATCATTAATCTAATGTATTTGGATAATTAGGTTAATTCTAGAGGTAATACACACAATTACTCTCAGTGGCTTCCTCTTCACTATATAAATCCTTTCCTGGTCACGATTAAACTGTATTTAAACAATGTAAATTTGATACAGTATTTTCAATTTAGCTGGCATTTAAACAAAACTAGACAGTATCAGGAAGGAAATTCTTTTGAGGTGTTTGATGTAAAAAAAGTGAGTTAGTGAAATAAATCTTGTCTTACTCTCTCAGTTTGACAGCTGCAGTTTTGCATCAGATATTGATCCTTTGCAGCATGACACAAACTAGTAACTATCCTTTATGCCATCTAAAGAAATATTACCTTTTTTCTATCAGTACATCATGAAAGGAAGCCAATTAGATTTGAATAAATAATACTCCATGAAGAACACAAATGTACTCTCATTGCCTCCTTGTGGAGGTTGAAGGATAGGTACTGATTCAAACTTTTAGGCACATTACATCGTAATTGGTGCAGTCAGTATGAGAGGTTTCTTACAGAAGTTACAAATTAAGTTTAAAGAAGCATATTAGCTTTGTTATGAAGGGGCAAAAAAACCTATTCTCAAGTGTTCATTGACTGTAGTGTCTGGAATCGTATTTGCTTATGCTTAAGATTAACTCTGCAAGCATTCTTTTCCAGTGGCCTCTACTTCAAACAATCCGCTGTACATGTGTTGTGAAATGGGGCACACAATCAGTTGCATGAATGGTAAACTGCTAGAAGAGAAAAATCACAGCATGAATGCTCCTGTGCATGTCTCTCTTTTGAACTGGATTTTGTCCTCCAACTTTTAACTCTCTGGGAAAGTATCTTTAATTCTCTTGGAAAGTCGTAACAACTCTACGTATCTCAGCATTTCCCTACCAATTGTATTTCATGTCTTCCTATTGAATCCACCTGAGGAACTCCAAGATCATGTTTTTTTAAAGGAAATTCAGAAGCAACCTTGTCTGCATGCATGGTACCTAGAAAAAAAAGAAGCATAGTAAAGCAGACATCAACCTGAGTTGATACGGAACACTATGGTATTATTTCAGTTGCTTCCTTTTTAGTTCATGTGTCATTAGCTACTCAGTCACAGACAACACAAAGACCATGTGAGAGGGCAGATCATAGGACTAAAACTCTCTTCCTGCTCACATTTGCAAATGTTTGAAAACCTGAGTTGCCTCGAGGGTCACTTCAAACATCACAAATTTCCTAAAAGCATAAGACTTGCAAGGAATGTTCCCTGCTAGTGTCTAAAAACTGACGGACAGGTTACTCACCATAACTTTCATTCTTCAAGTTGTCATCTGTAAACTCACATTAATGGGTTCTACTGTGTCTGTACAGAAACGTTCAGGAAACTTCTATAGCTCAGCAGCATTTTGGTAGTGACCTTGTCCCCAGTACTGCACATGTCGAGCAGCTCTCTCTAGACTTAGTTCCTCTGCTGCCAGAAATGGCAGAACATTTAGAAGGGAGGCAGGCAGGACATGCGAGTTGATAGATGACCGCTCAAACTACTACAGTTACAGCAAGTAACCAGTCTTCCTCCTTTACGGTCTCTGTGAATCCACACCAATGGAAAACTAACAACCTTTCCTTTCAATGGTAGGTAGTTTTTAATGGAGCACTGAAAAAAGTAAGGCTTTTCCAAATCTGGTATCTCTCTCAGATCTAACATCAGTTCTGTAGTGTCAGATGATTGTAGATGGTTGGGACCATGTGGCTATATGACAGATGTCTAGAACGGGTACCCTCTTCAGGAAGGCCATGGAGGCAGCAACAGATGTAACTGAGTGTCCTTTGATCAGCAGAGGAGACAGCTGACATTCGAGTTCATAGGTATGGTTTTGAGAATCTTTCTGGAGAGACTTGTAAGTGAGGCTGAGACACCATAAACAGGAAGGCGACAAGGACCAGGGTTGATCAAACAAGGTAAGATAAGTTAAATTCTTTGTTTGTTTCTTTCTTTTCTTTTTGGTAAAGGATGAAAATGAAAAAAGGGAGAGGGACACAAAGGGACATAGGAGTGCAATAAATACAGTAAGGGAAAAGACTAGGCCAATCACTTGAGAAGGTGAGGGAGAAGTTCCCAAATACTACTGCCCTTTTGATGGTAAGAAAGGAACTGAGTCCAGGGACAGAAAAGTGTTGGACAAGCACAGCACAGGGGCAAAACAGTAAAACGCTGCTCAGCTATAGACATTCCCTGAACATCTCTGTGCAGGTGCAAGTAGAACCCATTAGTGTGGATTCACAGAGATCATGAAGGAGAACTACGTGCTATTTGTGAGCTTTTTCCTCCACAGAAATGGACATTAGCAAAAGTAGCATATTTTTAGTGAAGATAATTTCTCTTACCATTTGTCTCACTTCCCATGCAATGTTGATAGGGTGTTTGGGTATTTTTTCTACAATTGGATGACTTCATAGAAGACACATATAATTTTCGAGGCGGTTCAGATGGATTTTCACACAGTTTGTCCACTCTCCAACATTTCTTCTTCAATTGTCTGATTTCCTCTACCAAAGAATGAACATACTCTGCAAAAAGAAAGATGGTAAACCTACAGAGGTTCAGTGAAGATTATTTTGAATGGCTCATAACCTATACAAATAAAAATAGTTTCCTTCAAGAATGCACTGATAGATATTTGCATACAAAGTTATTCTGTTACTAGAGTACAATTAATTTTCTTTCCTATTTGTTGAAGTCAAGCCTTCACTGCATGTTTTCAGGAACAGGACAGAATGGCATCTGTTGGGAATTTTTAAAGGATAGGATATCATGCCTTAAATGAAAAGACTCATTCCACAAGCACTTTTTAACTCTATGTGGTCAAGATAAATTGTATTTTTCATTGAGAGGAACACATTTGACACATACATTAGATGAAATAAATTCTTGCTGCATAATTTAAGCATATAATACTACTGTATACAAATAGGTTATACAAAAATGGTGATAAAAATGTAACCATCATCAGTGTACAGTGGTGCCTCACTTAGCGACGTTAGGATGAAAATGTAACCAGCATCAGTGTACAGTGGTGCCTCGCTTAGCGACGTTAATCCGTTCTGGAAAAACGCTGCTAAGCGAAAACATTGCTAAGCGAAATTAAAAAGCCCATAGAAACGCATTAAAACGTGATTAATGCATTCCTATGGGCTTAAAACTCACCTTTAAGCGCAAATCCTCCATAACATCACCATTTTTGCTGCCTCTTAAGCGAGGAAAAACAGCGGGCGGCCATTTTGTTTTCCCTGAAGCCATTTTGAAACCGCTGATCAGCTGTTAAAAAAGGGCCGCTTTGCCATGATCGCTTCCCTGCGATCATCGCAAATGGAAAAACCCCATAGGACCATTGCAAAACGATCGCTTTTGCAATCGCAAAAACTCCGTCGCTAAGCGATTTCGTTGCTCAACGGAGCGATCGCTATGCAAGGCACCACTGTATATTTATGCTCCCACGATAGTAAGTACTGAAGAAGCTGATTTCTTTTTATATATAATTTTTCATCAAATGGTGACCACATAATTTACAGATCAACAAGCATTTCACAAATTGTGAAACAGGAAAATGCTACTTGTGGCAATGCTTTCCTAATGTTTCTGAGCATATTGCAACTTTCAAAGTGTTTTTAGTTACAGAATGTATCCAAATTAGAATTTTTCTTTCCCTTCAGTTCATAAACTGGATGATATAATTATGTACATCTATATATAATGTAACTGTTTCTGCAGAACACCTTATGTTTATGTAAAGAGGATTAACTTTTCTCCACATTTTAAAATATCTAAGTTCTGTGTAGCTAGATATGATCTGGGGGGAAAAACTCTGCTAAGTAGAAAAATTGTTTTGGAGGTGCTGTTACTTTCCAAGAGCCTTAACTGAAGTGATTCCTATCTGTTCAAACATAGCTTTAGTTTTATCTGTAGTGAAATCAAGATAATTTTTTGCTATGGTTGTAAGCCTTATGTCAGAATTTATTGAAATCCTCAATGGAAAATATAAAAATTGATGTTGAAAGGAAAAACACTGGGAGAAGAGAAACATCCTCTTGAAAGAGATGCAGGGAAAGTGGTCTGTACCATTGTTACTCAGTAACATTTATCCCAATACACTGTATTACCAGGAGTGAATGAAACTGTAGCTGAATTAGCCGGATCCACATCTTGTGTTTTCATTTTGGAATGGGCAGAGGAAGTTGTCTGATAATTAAGAGTCTCCATTTCTCTTCTCATTTCTGCAATAACAGCCCGCAAGGTACTATTTTGTTCTTGTAATCTCTTGATATCAGCAGAAGGAAAAGCTTGTTCAGTGATTCCTGCAGCATCCTAGAGAGTAACCAAATAATTAGAGAAGCACACAAGAAATAAACTCCAAGAAGAAAATTTGACACTAGGAAACAAACAAGCAAGCAAGCACAATTGCACTGAAAATAATGCTAGGTTTCCTTAAAAAGCTACAGTGGTGCCTTACTCCAAGAAGAAAATTTGACACTAGGAAGCAAACAAGCAAGCAAGCACGCACAATTGCACTGAAAATAATGCGAGGTTTCCTTAAAAAGCTACAGTGGTGCCTTGCTAGATGATGATAATCTCTTCCATTGAAATCGCTGCTTAGCAAATTCATCGTCTAGCGAAAAGCATTTCCCCATTGGAATGCATTGAAACCTGTTTAATGCAATCCAATGGGGGAGAATCTTCGTTGTCTAGCGAAGATGAGCCATAGGAAAGCCGCTTTGCGAACCGCCGATCAGCTGTTTAAATCGCTGTCTTGCAAAGCTTAGGTCCCGGAAACACCTGTTTTGCAAGCGCAGAGGGAGCTGTCAAAATCGTCTTCTAGCGAAAATCTAAACATTGTCTAGCAAAATTCCCCCACAGGAATCACTGTTTTGCAAATCACTATAGCGATTACAAAAGGTCAATGTCTAGCAAAAAAACTGTCATGCGGGCAACTGTCTAGTGAGGCACCACTGTATTTTAAAAAACAGTAAATTGCAGCACAGAATTGCCACTAATTAATAAGTTGCCACTTGCATTTCTCATCACGTCATATCACACGACTGGCACACAGAATAGAAGTGGCAGCTCAGTAAATAGTGATAATCCACCAGTATGCTGTTTGTCATTGCACTAATGTCAGTATAAATAATTATAGGTTTTTGCCAGTTATGTGTCACTTGCAGAAAATAAATAATTATAGGATTTTTGCCAGTTATGTGTCACTTGCAGAAAAGAATAACAAGGTGTATGTTTGGCCATTTACTATACAATAGATCTTGAATGTGCTATGTCAGACCATCTCACTGGATCTGTCCAATATATTAGCTTGGATCCTGAGAAGAACCAGTCAGAGGAAATACAGTCTTCTCACCCCATCCTCTCTGCAGCAAATATAACCATGAGCTCCCTGAAATGTTTCTCCTGAGGATCAAAATATCCTTTTGAGTTGAGCAAATGTAATGTGGGGTGTGAACAGGTTCCAAAAAATGGAAGAGGACACTTTCATAAGTGGAAACAGCTCCTTGCTGTAAAAAGTTGTTAAAATGTAGTTAGAAGGTTTTCCAAGGATCATAACCATAAAGCGAATAAAATAACTGCACATATGCTTCACTTTAAGAATTCATGACAGCTAATCCCACAGTGAAAACAAGCATTATCAGCATCCACAGACTCAGAGTTAGTTGGGGGAAGCCCATCACAAAGATTTCAACATGTTTTATATGCAGCAATTCTAGGTTCAATCCCTGGCTAAGACAGATTTTTGCATCAGACTGTGGAAAGGTATTTCAAACAAAGTAGACAAAACAGAGGTAGGCATTAAACTGTTGGTTTAATGGTTTATATACAGGAACTTAAATCTGTGTCAACAGGCATCTCAAAAAACTCATATAGTTTTATCATAACTTCATAAAATGTGGTTCCTCTTGATCTTGTCTAACATAACATTCCAAAGACGTATTTATAGGGTGTCTGTTTGGGCAGGATTCAGGTCTCAAAGGAGACAGGAGCGTGTGTGATTTTTGCTATTTTTATCTCATGTTACAGCACCCATTCCAACTTCTCCCAAAAAGTTGGGTGAACCTTCCAGAACAGTACCTGAGGTGGTACTGAAAGGTGCAGGGGTAAATGAAAATTGTCACTTTGCTTCCTTCTCCTACAGAGCGTCTCCGCTGGATTTTAATTGTCTCTGTTAATAAAATGAACGCTAACATTTATGTCCATAGAAGGTCAGCTGAGTCAAATTCTGAACATTTACTAACCACTAACGTTTACTAACCACTACTAGACACTTGCTTTCTGGCATTTTTCACACTATTCCCAATTAGTGGTGTATTCTTGTTCTGCTTTGCTTCAGTTTTCCATAATGCAGGATCTGCTTGTGTGGACTCCAGTACATTGATGCATGCTGGTCTTCACATTTTCTGGGTGTGGGTCACTTAATGTGCTTATAGGTGTTTTTTCTGCTGGTCAGTCTCTACCCCTCCATGCCTTACTACTGCTCCTATTTGTTGTTTATATATATATATATATCAGCCATTCCTGTGATTTGTTCTCCAATCTTTTGGAGGGAGAGAGAGAGAGAGTACTCCTTTGAGCACAGATGAGGTGGCTGCTTGTGATACACAGAACCCAGCTGAATCTTTAAATGTATGGAAAAATCACTGAGCATTTGTGGTGGTGGGTGAATACAGATACACTGGCAGAAAGACTAGAATGATAAAACAAGTACTGTAATCAGATTTTGTTTCTGAGAGTTACATTATCAAAGTTTACACTTTAAAAACATAACTTTAAAAATGTAAACCAGCAGAATATTTTCAGTCCTAAATTCTAATGCATAATTTTCCTAACTGGCTTGGTCAATTTCTGTGATTTAGTTTATGGCAGGTTTCAGTTTACACTTCCAGATTTTCAGAGAAGATACACATTTAGAGCAACAATAACTACTAGCCGAAAAATTCCTTGAGTCTTGCAGTGTGTGGGAAAAGGCTTCCAGGTCACCACAGGTAACCACTAGTAGGCAACCACTTGAGGGCAGCACAATATATTTCTCCCTTCAATATTCAAAAACTTGGCATCACTGTTTTGTTAAGAAAAGCCATTAACAGGGGAAGGGGAATCACCACTAAAAGAACAGAGCAGTTATCAGGAATGCTATGGCAGTGATTCACATACCATAAGGGATTTCAGTCTGGTACAGGGGTTGGAATTACAGACAGGAATAGTGTCAACAACAGTGAAGAGCACTGAGGATTTATGGATTTTGGTTACACTTCCATATCTTCTTGCACTGGTTTACTTGGCAGATAGAGAACAAGTATTTGCAAATGAGCAAATCTCCTTTAAATAATGTACCTTACTTTTGCTGGTCAATGACCGTAATAAAACATTTATTATTATTAATGAGCAAATCTCCAGGATTAATACCAAAGCTGAGGACATACTGGAGCTGCTGAAACAAATGTTTATTCTATGAATGGAAAGGCAAGTGGCAAAAGAACCAAGCAGGAATTTGTAAAGAGAGGTTTCCATAATACACGTGTCATAGCTGAAAAGGCTGAAACTTTCACACAGCTCAGCCAAGAAGGAAACCCTGGAAGAATTCAGGTACAGATTTTAATGTACATCAGCAGGTTCAAACAGCAATTCCTGCTGGGAACACTGGGATATGGGAAAGGCTTTAATCTCCACTCCAGCCCTATAACCTCATTCATAGATCTCAGGTAAACCTCCCCATATATACAGTTGCAATGTACTGCACAGGTTGCCTTAATGCATTTCTGTTAACTGAAAAGATGGATTTGATTACATTTTTAAAAAATTAACTGAAAAAGCCCTCTGACATCTTTTAACAACAAGAAAATGTTTTTTAAACAAAGACTATGAAAAACATGAGAATGCAAAAGTGCTGGAACCTCCTCAAAACATGGTGGAATTGCTCTCCAAACCTTCTGGAAGGTATAAAGGAAACCTTTGAGGAAAAACAAGTTTGACACAGGGAGAACAGGAAGTCTAGAAGAACTAGGGGCTGGAAAAATGGCACATGGTTACATGCTGCCCATCTCTACTACAAAGTCTGGTCTCCAAATATAATGCAACACTCTGGTTCTCTCACTGCATTAGCTTTATGTTATGCCCATGATGGTTACATTTTCCTTTAAAGCCAAGCCCTCTAAATTCCCAAGTTCAACATCTGGTGACACAATTTAATTCCTCAATAATATTTTTTCTTGTATTATTTTTGCATTTTATTCCTTCATAGAGCCTCTCAAGCTCAAGTATCTTGTACACCAGTGGTTATCAACCTGGGGTACATGAACTCCTCCTAGGGGTACAAACCAGGAAATTTAGGGGTATGAAAAAATTGGATAATAGAATAAAAAGGCCTCAGGAAGTGGAAGGCAGTGGACCAGAGTGTGAAACATTATGGACTGGTGTTCAGACAAAGCTTCAGTGCCAAGGCCTGGGTGGGGGAAAGGGAAGCAAGCCATGCCATACAATCTGTCCCTGCCTTTGGTTCCTGCAGTCTGGCTAAGAAGACAGGGCTGTATGGTGTTGAGAGCCTCATGATCAAGGGGGTGGGGGCCGCTTGGTGCCACATTTTGGGTCTTCTGTTTGCCGAGACGGTGGCTCCCCTCACAGAATGGGGCCGGGCTGGCATGAGAAAGAAGGGCTGGCAAGGCAAGGTTGCCACTCCTCTGGGTTGTGCTATGCCAGTTACTTCAAAGAAGGAAAGAAGGTGGGGGAGGGGAGGGAAGGAGCCAGGTTGGAAGATATCCAGGGACAAATGGAAGCCTAGAGGTGAGGAGTGGGGTGGGCCAACATAATAAATGGATACATGTCTGTTTTGTTCTTTTGGTGATGGTGGGAGGTACAATTTATGGAACTGTACACATTTATGGAATTTACCAAGGGATATGCAAGTGAAAAAAACTCTGGGAACTATTGCTCTATATAACAGTTACAAATATAGCTTGATAGACATTGGCTACAATCCTGTTCATTTGTGCTAATATGCAGTCACACATGCAATTGTGCAAGCTTCCCCTGCCCCACCAGTAGCATTGCATCTACATGTCTGATCTCTGATCAGACGCATGACTGATCACACAACAGGGGATCTGTTGGAGAGGAATTACCCAAGCACAATTCCACTTAGGCATATAGGAAATGGGAACAAGGATTTTGGGCACTATATAGTGTTTCACAGGAAAGAAAAAGTGCATTTCATTTTGAGGACAACTCCTCAGAAAGAAGCTTATAATCTGTTTAGTTTTCTCAAGTCTAGTCTCCAAGATACAGTATACAGTATTTGCTACAGTCTAAAGCAGAAATTGTTCCTTGATAAACTGAAGCTCTATCTACTACATTATTTAAAAGAGATAGTCTATAGAGAGATTTCAGTCATCTTCCTATTTTTGGCTGCCCACAAACTGCACTAGAGCCAGTTGCCCACATATTATAATCTTCAAGGGCAGAGGGCAATGAAAATGACTCTGCAAAAAAAGCCACTCTCTTTCAGTGTGTTTCAGGAAACAAAGCCTTTCAAAGCTAGCCACGACATCATATTGATGTACACTAAATAGAGCAAAGAACAAAAATCAGCTGAAGCAAACAGTCATGTAGTCACATTTCTAGTCCATAACTTTGCCTAATGCAGTCATGTAGTCCCAGAATCACATTTCTAGTCCATAACTTTGCCTAATGATTACAAGAACTAACTCTAAATACACTGTAAGAATAACCATATGTTTTCATATTCATGCTTTCTCAAGCCAAGATGCTACAAAATGTTATCCCTGAATGGCTAGCTTAGACCATATCAACAACCAAGTTTCCTCATATAAGCCCATGTGTGCTTCAGCTTACTGGCAATTTGAATCTGCATAAAGAGGTTAATTTTGTTTCTGGGAAGTCAAAATTATCTCGAGGCATATTAACAACCAGAAAAACAAAGATGGATAAAATCCTGCAAGAGAAATGTTTTTATCTTACAATCTAAGATAAAAACCAAATAGATAAAGTTTAATAATTAAAATCAATTGAAATACACATTTAATAACCATACACAACACCTACAGCTGCTGAAAGCCATGCTGTATCATGCTACCTATTTCAGGCAACTTTAAAAACATGTATATTTTGAGGGGATCTTGAGGAGGTGTCAGATGTTGACCCATTTTAAATACAGTACATACTTGGCAGTCATCTTTACAGCAAGACTTGGTCTAACAATAAGCTCATACTTTCACCCCCTGTCTAAGGAGCATAGTTTTTCTTTCCATAAAATGTACTGAGGCTTCTTCAGATACTACTTGCAGATTCATAAACTGGATTAGACCACTTGAAATATGCACACATCATCATTCACAAGGATACAAGTGTGCAAATTAGCTTCTGTATAGCAGACATCTGCAGTTGAGATCTAGTTTTATCAGAATGACGTTTACAACATTATATGGACAACATATCGCTACCTATATTCAGGGGTACTTTTAAGAAATAATGCTATATAGGTGATTATTTTAATCCCAGAAGAAAACCATCCTGTAGACATCAGTAAAAATGTAGGAGGATGAGCCAAATAGAGATCTTAATGTAGGGATCTTGACTTACTTGCCACTCTTAGTAAGTCCTGCATTAAGATACTGTTCTCAAACAGTAAGGCTGAAGGCCACTTGCAGGTAACATGCCTCATTTGCCCTAGCCAGCAGGCATCCCCTCCTCCTTTCCCCAAATCTCCAGACTAAGCCCTCTACAGCTTTGTGAAACAAGAATGGCCACATGAAAAAGAGGACAATGTTCCTGCATCTTTAATAGCAGTATCAAATACAGTAGGTCATTCAATAGGTATTGTTTGTACAAACTACGCCTGAATTTTTTTTGATCAACACTACTGTTAACGATGATTAGGGACATGGTGGCGCTGCAGGCTAAACCGCAGAAGCCTGTGCTGCAGGGTCAGAAGACCAGCAGTCATAAGATCGAATCCACGCAATGGAGTAAGCTCCCGTTGCTTTGTCCCAGCTCCTCGCCAACCTCGCGGTTCGAAAGCATGTAAATGCGAGTAGATAATTAGGTACCATCTTGGTGAGAAGGCAAAATGGCGTCCCCTAGTCATGCTAGCCACATGACAATGGAAACTGTCTTCGGACAGGCGTTGGCTCTATGGCTTGAAAAGCGGGATAAGCGCCGCCCCCTAGAGTTGGAGACGACTGGACTAAAAATGTCAAGGGGAACCTTTACCTTTACTGTTAACGGTATAGGATCCCTGTTGTCTTTCATATGACCATCTGATGTGTAACTGATGTGCTGGATATCAAGGCTGAGTGTACGTGTGTGTTTTGTTACATATACGCTGAATATACATTGGGAAGCCACACCCAGTCATAACTTCTTCATGGGTTGGGTTGCCCAGTGTACCTTACTTGGAAATAATTTAACTTCAACTGTTTTGTCACATTTGTAGTTTTGGTTAGGACACAAAATCCTAGACAAATTATGTGCCCTTGATAAAAATATCTTAGATTAATAGCACTGCTGCTCTCTGAGAAGCAAGTTTATAGTTCACTATAAAGTGAACTGTTCTAGGATTAGTTCAATAAAAAAAAATAGCATTATGTCATTCTAACCTGTTTCTCTCCCGTTGGTACATGACTATGTTTCTGAAGTTCCTGAATGACGTGATCTCTCTCTTGAGTTACAGCTGACAGGAGTATTTCCAATTCATGTAACCTCTGTTCCTTCTCTTTTAGTTCAGCAGTAACCTACAAAGTAACATTATAGTCAGTTCAAAAGGCTATCTTCAAGAGACATCTACCTTAGCTTCCAGCAGTATTGTTATCCTACCAAAACCACCATAATCTCCCTTCCTCTCTAAATAAAACATCTGCATATTTAGACAGAAAGTACTGTTTTGTAATAACATAACCACTGCTTTCTCAAAAAGATAGAATCCACCATGCTAAGTCAGTAAGTCATTCACTATCATATATCAAAGATAATGTTCTTTATAGGAAGGACCACTGCAAAAAGATGTGACCATCAAATGGTTGCTAGAAGCACAAGAAGAAACACTAGTCTTCAAACAACCAGATCTTCCATCTGAAAGACAGATCACTAATATTCTGCGCTAAGCTGCAGGAAATGTGAGACAATTCTGACCTGATCCCTAGCTGTTGACAAGCTCTGGATCAGAGCCTCTGATTTCTGATATTGATCCCTTTCAACATTCTCGCAACGCCGCTGCCAGTCCAACTCAATTTGTACTTTAGCCTTTTCTAGAACTTCTTCTCTTTCTGCTGCTAGTGAAAGCTGCTGTTTATACCTAAGACAGAGAGAAAGAAAAAGACAATTTTCCAGAAGGGAAAGATGACGTTCAATATTACTAATGGTCTATTGCAACAAAACATTCACTAAAATTTTAAAAACCCTTTACAAGTGATGTGTGCATCATAGAACATAAAGAACAGTTGTTTACAGCTAGTCTCATGGTCAGTGTATGAGATAATCACTAAAACCTTCTGGAATACAGATTAAGAAAAGGTTTCACCCATATGTAGCTGAGAGAGAATGTTTAAGCAGTCTAGGAGGTTATTCATGCCAGAATACATTTCTTCCTACAAGCTTAAATTTTTAATAAAATAAAATAAGAAATAAAAATTACAGTTTATTTTAACTGTAAGAAGCCTTGTAGTATACCGGGGGTGGGGGTGTGGAGCTAAAGTTTGAAAACAGATAAATGAAACCAGATAGCAAGATGTAAGAGTTTCATACACAAATATAAAAGAAACTATGACAAGTAAAAGTTACTAATGTAGTACCACAATGGAAACACAAAAAACAATATGAAAAAGCAAGGTTACATATATACGTAAAGAACATGAAAGGGAAAGTAGGTACAGGCTTGGAATCTGCTGCTTGCCTGGATTAAATGATTTACTTATTACATTTACATTCTGCCTCTCCTCAATGTATGATCAAGGTGGCAAGCATGTCCCCTTTATCTTCACAAAAAACCTTGTGAGGTAGGTCCAGTTAGATTAAGTAATAGTAACCAGCCCAAGGTTACCAAGTGAATTTCATGTCTGAATGGGAATTTTAAATGGAGTCTTTCCAGCACCAAACTGAAATTCTAATGACTAAAAGCATGCTGCTTATATACTGCCCCATAGCACTTAAGGCACTCTCTGGGAGATTTAAAAGCTGCACATTGCCCCCTCCAGCGAGCTGGGTACTACACTGCACTGGCTCTGTGCATGACTTTATTCCCACTGGATGACCTTAATACTTGGGTGATCTCTCATGTTAATACCATCTGAGCCGGTTATTTCTTAATTAGTTGCAAGGAATAGCATTTGAGAGTGCATGTCACTTGTGTCAACCCGTATGCTCAGTTCTGATATTATTCTGTCTTAAAGGCTACTGGCTGTTTATAGAAAATGCGGTAGAGGAGTGAACCACGTTACAACATGGTAACAGGAGCTTCCACGTCCGTCTCCTGGGTTGTCTGCTGGCAGAGTACCAGAAATCACTAGTTTCATCTCTGCAGATGCACCTGGCTCTCCCCCCCTCCTGCCCCTCTCTTAAAAGGCCAATAGTCTGTAAGAGAAAAGGTCAAGAATCCTTTATGCAGTAGACAGACATGACTGACACTGACATTAATGATCACAGATATTACTTTCTCTAGGCTAAGAAAAGTTTTTCTATGGTGAGCAAGAGCAGGAAACCAGCTTTTTGCTACATGAATGAATCTATATTATCACTTCTCATGGCAAGATTATCAGTGGCAAGAGGTACCCTACAATGCCCAAATCCACTACAGGGTTAATGGTAACTGCATGCCACGTTAATCTCTGTTTTCTGATCACAGGGCCCCTCACAGTTGAATCTGGAGGACAAAATGTAAAAGACAGCCTTTGCTTCCAACAAAACAGCAGTCTCAAGTGCAGCACTTCATCTTTTTCTTTAAGAATGAATGCACCCATTCACTTTTATGGAAGGAAGTTAATAGGTAGACTCAGAGACTGTGCTAGAGAAGCAGCCAGATCTCCTTCTCCCTGATTTCAGATGTGGGAATATCAATGCCTCTTTCTCAACTGTCAGAATGATCACAGGCTCTTTCTTTTTCTCACATTGTGTGCTCAGATGAAATTCAGCCAGCCTTTTATGTCTGCACATTAGGGGTATGCATGACAAATTTTTCCTTATTTCCTTGGTAATTTTTGTGTACCAGTCCTTTATTTTTTTTACATAAAATGGAAAACCTCTTTCAGGTTTCTCATTCATGCTTCCCCATTCACGTTTTCTGGCACTCCTAAAACCCTTTTAAAAAAAAAACTTCTTTAAAACTACTCCAAAAAAGCACAGGCAAGACAAAAGTGAATAAAGATTAGTGCCTTGCTCTAATCAGGCAGTATAACATAGAAGAAATAAATCCATTCCAAAAGCAGGCAAGAGTACATGGGAAAAGAGAAAACAGTTTGCTACCACCCATCCATCACAACAGATCACTGGGACTGGGCAGCACAATGCAAAAAAAGGCAAAAAGCAGCCAGACAGCCAAAAATTGGCAGCCTGGCAGAAAGACACCCACTCGACAAAACAGCCAACAACAACACAACACCAAGAACAACAAGAGTGTGGTCCAAGCTATGTCCCAGCAACAACAATACCCACCCACATAGCCCAGTGGCACAATGGCACAATCATAAAGTCCACCCTGCTTACCTATATGCCTCCAAAGAAGCAGACAAAATGGTCCCCCAAATGCCCCAAAATATAACCTTTAACAGAATAATTACAAAGCAAATTAACCAAATAACATTTTAAAAACTCAATAAGCAGAAAAACCAGCCATTCACCTCACACAAGGAAAAAGCAGCACGCGCAACAGCCCCCTGTCCCCCAAACCAAAAAGAGCAAGCAAACAAATATAAGAGAAAAATACAATTACAGGCCCCTCCCGAACAACAAAACCTACCATAATATAAGGAGATTTCTCTCCCTCCTATCACTAAATGCATCATCTTCTAATTCTTTGTGTCCAGCAGGCAAAAGCAGGCATGCCATGCAGTATGAAAAATAACCCAATAAAAGACACCAAGGTGGGGGCGGGAGAAGAATCCACAAAGAAATTTAGGGTGGGAAATCAAAATAATAATAATCCCAGATACACTGCCACAGGCAGGCTGTCTGGTAGCACCAAAATAATTTGAAGAACCTGGGGGGGTGTCCTCAAAAGAAAGAAAAAGGGTAAAAAAGGAAAGGCTCCAAGATGGAAGAACAGCAGGCAGGTAGCAATCAAAGATGGAGGATACCAGAAGTAGAACACACAGCAATCCCATAAAGAATACTGAAGCAAGGAGCACTTCCTTATTAGGCTCCAGGTCCTCTTTATACATTTAAAATTCTTACTATCTCCACTAGACTTTCTATTGGATACTGATAGCCCTTGCAATGCTACTGTGACACAAAAGGGACAACAATAGTTTACAGAAAAGAAACATGAACCTTTCATGAATCCCTCTTTTGTAATATTAATAATTCGAGTTTTAGGGATTCTCCTTCAGAAATCACCAAAAGAATATGAATTATACAATACACAGCCTCTTACATGTTTGAGGACTTTCATTTAAACCTGAAAGGCCAATCTCTAAATGCATATTCTGATCATTATATAAGACCCGTATTCCATTCCTTGGTAATAGTATAATAATCGCAATAGTGTGATACCATAAGAACCACATGTGAAATGTATCATATAGCTCAAGCACTGATCAAAGTGAATTATTTTATTCAGAAGAAAAGGGCTAAGATGCAACAACAGAAAGCAGGTGAGAAGAAAGCTACAGGTATAAACAGAGGACATAGCATAGAGTTTTTATTGAGAAGAAGGGATGGTTATTTGCTGTACTTGGAGAAGAAACAATATCTGGCACTGAGTTAACATGTGGAGAACAAATAAAGTGTCAAACATAAAATCAGGACACCTTGCCTGGCCAACAAAACTGTTTACCTTTCAATGTCTTGCGCTAAGGTGGTCAGTTGTGTTCTTAGCTTAATCTCTTCCTCTTGCAGTGCATGTATCTGAAGATCTTTTGAAACTAGCTCCCTAGACAGCCGAGCTACCTGAGATTCCCAACTTGTTTTCATTGCCTTCAGCTCTTGTTCACATCTATAAAAACATGCAAAACATACATTTGATGACATTATTTTTTTTTGCATTTTAAGCAAAACAGGCCAGCAAAGAAAAAGGCAATGAGAGAGAGTAGTCTGAGAAATGTTCAAAACATTTAAGCAAATGACAACTTTACATAAAGTGAAGTGACATTTGCATGGCATTATAATGATACAGTATAGGAAAACAGTAATCCACAATGGCTTTATATACAGAGAAATTTCAGGCAATTGGTTCAGTTCAATTGAGAACAGGAGAAAGATGTGTCATCTTAACTCAAGATGTATTTGCAGACAATCATTTTAATACACTCCTCTGGTGTATTTTGTAGTCCACAACTGCATCTTAAGCACAAAATATGTCTTGGGAAGTAGTAATTCAGATTTCTTCTGGTTAAATGAATCCACAACTTCAGATATATTTTATCATGTTAAATTGCTTTTTATCAGGCAGAAAATACTGTGTGGGGAAAAAGAATGAAAGAGAAGCAATCATATTCTTGGAATAGGTAGAACACGTAGAAAAAACAGACTTCTTCCCTTTCCTCCCTATTCTCCAAAAAGCTATCCAAAAGGCATTGTTTCTCAAAATGTAATTTATCTCATTCAAAGTGAGTGGTTTGTCTTCAGGAGCTCCAGAAAACCCAAACATTTAAACAAATTAAAATTTGAATTCAATCTTATCCTTAATTCTTCTTAATTCTACATTAAATATAAAATAATTCAGATGACAGTACACTGGTGCCTCAACTTACGAAATTAATCCGTACTGGACCGGTGGCCGTAACTTGAAAATTTTGTAAATTGAAGCACCATTTCCCATAGGAATGCACTGAAAACTGATTAATCCATTCTGGCCAAAGGAAAAAAAATCCCGGGCTTCCAAAGCAGCACCTGCTGCCCTCTGCCTCCTGTCCCGCTGCCCTCTGCCTCCCATCCCCGCAGGGACGGGAGGCAGAGGGCAGCGGAGGGATTTGGACGCCCAGGAAGCTGGCACCTGGCGCGGAGGTTGGGGTGGCTTTCGGTTTCCCGGGCTTCCGTCCCTGCTGCCTCCTGCAGCAGGGACGGAAGGCAGAGGGCAGCAAGGGCAGTGAGGACAGGAGACAGACAGCAGTGGGGGTGGCTCTGGAAGCTGAAAGCCGCCCCGACCTCCGTGCCAGGTGCCGGCTTCCCGAGCTTCCAAAGCCCCAGCACCTGGCGCGGCAGTCGGGGCAGCGATGGAAGCCTGGGAGGCTGACCCTCCCTTTTCCTAACCATTGGGGTGAAGAAGCAGACTCTTCACCACCAATGGTTTGAATTCCCCATCTTTTTTCCCTGCCTTTTTCTGTTTGTAACTGGAAGCTCCGGCCACAAGTTGAAGCAAAATATTGCGGCTGGAGCTTTTTGTAACTCAAAATTTTCGTAAGTAGGGACATCGTAAGTCGAGGCCCCACTGTATTATCATTCTTGTTTCATGAAGGATAATCTTTCTGAGAGACAAAAGAAGTGATGATGAACTTGAAAATACAGAGTAACATATTAATGTTATATTATGAATATAGAATCCACACATGCAATAGTGCATGCAAACATTATGTATTTGAACATTTGAAAGATATTGCATGCACCACAACTTACTCTGTTCAGCATGATCCTGAACCTATGTCATGAGTTGGATGACTTGGGTGAATGCAGCAGACTGTTGGGCTATGATCCCCATTATTAGCTGAAGTCACCATTCATTAGTAAAGCTCTGTTCACAGGAAGGCTAAGGAGGAGCCTCTGTCTTAATAGTAGAGGGTCATCCTTTCTTCTCAACCCCATGCACCACAACTTACTCTGTTCAGCATGATCCCCACCACTGTTTGTGCAGCATTTTCAGATGGTTGGTACGGTTTTTATGGGGAATATTAACTTCTACCAGCTTGCAACATATACCCAGAAGTGGATCCAACACCTCTTTATTGCAGGAAGAAAAAAAGTGCACCAAACTTCCTATTACAATGCACTCCCTACTTCTTATAAGGAACTTAATCTTTAGGTACCTGGGACATGGTGGCGCTGCTGGCTAAACCGCAGAAGCCTGTGCTGCAGGTTTTTATGGGGAATATTAACTTCTACCAGCTTGCAACATATACCCAGAAGTGGATCCAACACCTCTTTATTGCAGGAAGAAAAAAAGTGCACCAAACTTCCTATTACAATGCACTCCCTACTTCTTATAAGGAACTTAATCTTTAGGTACCTGGGACATGGTGGCGCTGCTGGCTAAACCGCAGAAGCCTGTGCTGCAGGGTCAGAAGACTAGCAGTCGTAAGATCGAATCCACGCAACGGAATGAGCACCCGTCGTTTGTCCCAGCTCCCGCCAACCTAGCGGTTCGAAAGCATGCAAATGCAAGTAGATTAATAGGGACCACCTTGGTGGGAAGGTAACAGCGTTCCGTGTCTAAGTCGCACTGGCCATGTGACCACGGAAGATTGTCTTCAGACAAAACGCTGTCTCTATGGCTTGGAAACGGGGATGAGCACCGCCCCCTAGAGTCGAATACGGCTGGACAAAGATTGTCAAGGGGAATCTTTAGCTTTCCCTTTTTAATCTTTATGTAAGAAATTATAGCATAGGAAACAATTGTAAGTATTGGCTACTAGACACAGGGAACCTGAGTTTCAAAGTGTTTTTAACATAGTACAGAATATAAATCAGGAAAAAAAATGCCATTGTATGTACATATAGTGCAACAATGTTTAGCATGTTGTACGACTTCTGTTTGTTCACTTCAAGATTGATGCTGTTCAACTGGAGAAGATACTGCCACATAGTCACTAAGATAAATGAATACAGTGGTGCCTCGCTTAACGGGCGCCCCGTTTGACGAAATTGCTCAGCGATTAACTTTTTGCGATCGCAACGCAATGTTCCCTATGGGGAAAAATCGCTTTGCGATGATCGGTTTGCTGTTTGGCTTACCGATCATCGCATAGCTGATCAGCGGTTCCAAAATGGCCGCCGGGTAAAAAAAATGGCCGCCTGCTGTTTTCTGGGACGGAGTCCTCGCTTACCGGGCAGCAAAATTGGCCGCCGTATGGAGGATTTTCACTTAAAAGAACAGTCTGAAGCCCATAGGAACGTACTGAAGGGGTTTCAATGCATTCCTATGGGCTTTTTAATATCGCATAGCGACGAAATCGCTTTGCAGCGATTTTTGCTGCACCGATTATCGTCGCTATGTGAGGCACCACTGTATAGGGACAATATATCTGTCAATCAGTACTAGAAGACAAGCATCAGATTGTTATCAGAGATTAAAAAGGAGTGGTGGAGATTGCCACCAACCTTACATGTACCACATGTAAGAAATGTGTATGTGTTTCAGGGTGTGCTCTCTGAATACAGAAACCCAGACCTCAATGCCTAGGTTGGCTCACTGACCAATATGATCAACCATTATGCTCAGCATGCATTTTCCTTACCAGACAGCTAATGCTTTCCATTTCATCAGTGAACTAAGTGCTTGTCTCTCCAGGACATTTAGAATGTTCTGTTTTAGGGAACAGGATTTGGTTTCCTTCTGAACTATAATTAGTACCACTCAGGCACTGCACTTTCAAGAAGAAGTGGAATGCTAGAGCATACACACTAGAGAACTTGTTCTGACTGTCAAGTCTGTCACTAACTTAGTGAGTGATTCTGGAGAGGTCCCTACATTTCTCCTGTCCAGTTTTCATCAACAATAAAACAGAAACAATAACAATTTCAGTAAGACCAAATCCTCTTGTGTACAGTCTGGTGTCTACCAGCAAACAAGAGAAAAAGCAGAGCATGCAATAAACAACCAAAGCACAGCAGCAGGTATTTTATTTACCATGCATTATTTAGATATTAATTTGATTTGCAAAGAGATCTGCAAATTGTAAAGTTGGGAACAACTAAGAAATGATATTTAGATTAGGGGCTTGCCCCAAACCAGACAACCCAATCCTATCCCACCCACTATATACTTGCCACTGATAAACTAATCTTCTATTATATTCAAACTCTGTAAAAAAAGTGAGATTGAGATTTAGACTTCACTGCATCTTTAGACAAATAATTTTGTAGGATGAAGGTGTATTATACTAAGGGAAAACAAAATTGGTCCTTTGCTTAATTTTGCATTGATTCCATTTTATTTGTTGTTATTTGCTTCTTTTTTCATACAAAAGTAAACTTAAGTGAAAATGTCATTGACAGCAAATATTTTGCACACTGAAACATGTCCCACTGTGCTCACATACTGTTCCTCTCATAGATGGAAATAGAAATAACTATATGTGCAAGTCTTCAGTTTGTGCTTACCTTCTTTTACAGTTTTTTTTTCTTGTTGTTACTTTCTTGGATGTCATCATTGCTATTCTGATCTTGGATGTGGCAGCTTGGAATGACGACATTATGCTGCAGCCAAACCAGTTTTGGTGTATCATAACTCTTTTTAAGTGACCCTAAGGCTCTCTTTATATGGAAACCACTAAACAGTCCTCATCCTTTCTAGCAAGCTTTGCCCTATACTAAGCTTTGAAATGATGCTGTCAAAATCCAATATAGATCTATGGGCAGAAACAGAGAGCCCCTAATTAAAGCTGGAAGTACTTTAGCGTTGGGGGCCTTGACTGAGGTAGTCTTTCATGTCTGAGAAATCAGACTTCAAAGGAATCTTGTCCTGAAGGCCAACCACAAAACAAAGCAAGAATAATTGCACATTCTAAGAGGTCAAGGAAACTGCTGTAGTGATGGCCATATGCAATTACCCCTTAAGAAATATTATTCATTGGCTAACAATTCTTCATTATATCTTTTTCAAGGGCTATTATCCTGGACATTAATAGGTTGTAGGACTCCAAATGGGCTGTTTGAATACTTCTAAATATAATCATAGTCTTCTAATGTTTGGTATCAAAAGCAGGACCCAATCGCCCTTGCCCTTTGCAAGAATGAAAAGCACTTCTGCATATGCAAGGGAGAAGCACTAATACTACTTATGTCTGACACCAGTCTCAGAATCTCATAGGGTGACATGAAAAGCTGTTTGCCATGAGCAGTTTGCTGCTGAAATGGGAGAGCTAAAATTCTCCTCAGACATGCGTAAATAACTAAGTACAGTATTTTGGATCTCATACGTATGGTGGGTTTGTTACTAGAGATGGGGGTGCTCATATATGAATACAAAAAGCCCCACACAGGTGGATATAACAAAGGTACAGCCCCCTGGGGCCGGACCGTCCACTCACCTTCCACTGCCGCAGCCAGCTCCGCACTCCCTTCCCATCGCTTCAGAGCTCGCAGACTGAGAGCCACTCCTGGCAGGAGGCAGGAGGACAAGCTTTGCTGCTAGGTCTAAGAGTGGCTTGTAAATCATGAGATCCCCATCTCTATTTGTTACCCTCTATTCTTTTTTAATTTTAAAGAAATCAGAGCTATACTTAACACTTTTGCCATTCTCTGCTGAAGTGGTTTTTTAGAGAAGTGCACAAACCTTGGCTCGGAGATTTATGCCAGTTCATACACATGGCACCACAAGAGCCACGCATGCCCTTCCCTCACCTCCTCAGCTGGATCCCCCACTCACCAGTTGGGACTGTGCTCCTCTCCTCCTCTTGTTTGGCTGTTCGACCAGTCCCCGGCAGGAGCACGAGCTTCCCTGTCCTGCCTCCTTAGCTAATCGCCCACTCAGACAAGGAGGCAGGACAGGCAAGCCCGTGCTCCTGCTGGGGACTGGTCGAACAGCTGAAGAGGAGTTGCGCTCCAACTGGTGAGTGGGTCATTTGCCAGGGAGGTGGGGGAAGGGAATATGGTGCTGTGTGCACAAACTGTGTGCACAAACTGGCACAAACCTCCAATCTGAGGTTCATGTCCATCTCTAGTGGTGCTGTGTGCACAAACTGTGCACAAACCTCCAATCCGAGGTTCATGTCCATCTCTAGTCAATTTAAATCAGGATTTAAGTACCATAATTGGCAGGCCTCAAATGGTGAATACTGTAGTCCTTCCAAGATCTAAACATTACCAGACATTACTGGGAGTTTGCACCAGTGACCATGCAAGTACTTTTTGGTGTGCATTGTCATGTAATAATGAGGATGTATTCATTAAATCATATGGTTTTCTACATAAATGGAACAGCAATTGAATTTAAAAGAGAGAGAGGAGAAATTACCACTTTAAGTTGAAATATTAATGAAATTTATGAACTCAAATACTTAGAGATGGAACTGAAGTATCTGCTTTTCCATAACTAAGACTGGGTTGAAGCATAGATTTTTAAAATACTTCTAGCAAAAATTGGTGCTTCATGTTATCAAAGAAAGGGAAGGTGCTATGGTACATTCTATCTTCCATCCTGCTGTGACCTTACCAAAATGTGACCTAGGCACTGCTTTCCCTTCCTTTCTTCCCATGCAGAAAAGACATGGAATATGTTGATTTTCTCAGCCTGTCTTGCCAAGAGCATAGCACCTCCCTTGTTCTCTGCTCACTCTTCTTGAAAGAGAAGAAGTGAGAAGTAGGCAACAATTTCAAGAAAAGGCAATTAACTAATTGAAGTCAAAGAGACTTGTTTCCATCTGACAGTTTCAATTCAGCAGTCTGTTTAGACTGAATATTCCTGTGAGCACAAAGAAAATCCTGATCTAGAACAGGTTCAGGAGCTAGTCTACAAGTACTTTTGGCACCTCCAGATTGGATTTTTCTGAAATTATTGGAGATTCATATGCACACAAGTTCACGGAACTCTATACCAAACTCCATACTTGAACACAAGTATTTAGCAATGTTGTCTAGAACAAGCAGTCCATCTTAGAGTTGCTTATGTACTGGAGAACCAACCAAACTAGAATGTACATGAAGACGCCAGAATAAACTCCCTCGATCAGATATGCTCCTGATGTTTTGCATTACAATTGCCATCATTTCCATCCTAACGGCCTTATTGGCAGGTGACTGGAGTCATAATCAAACATGTCTAGTGGACACCAGATTGGGTAATACTGCTCTCAAAGAACAAGTGTAAAATCCATATCCACTGTAATTTAGGAAGATGTGGCTTGCAGCCTGTATTGCCAGTGACAGCATATTTCCAGGAAAAAGCAAAAATACAGACTGACTTAATACATTTAAATTTACATTGATCATTGTTGGAGCAGCATACCAGAAATGCTTTCCCTTGGAAAAAACATATTGCAACTTCCTATCGCTCCAAAGTGGACTACTACAATGTTGTAAGTTCTTAAAGATGCACTGTACATAGTTGTAGTTTTAGAAGAAGTAGCCATGTTAGTCTGTGCAGTGTTAGGTCAGAGACTACAGGCTCTGCCAAATTCCAGTCAAAAAAGGAAGAAGCCACGAAAATCACTACCCTCTGCAACTGCCACATACAACTATTTCACCTTTGACAACAAAACTTCCCTCCAGATCAATGGAACTGCCATAGGTACTCGCATGGCTCTATATTATGCAAACATACTCACATCTGGCCTAGAACAATACTTTCCTAACTGTTATAACCCAAACCCACTCATTTATTTGATGACTTATTTTTTTATCTGGACCCATGGTAAGGAATCCCCAAAGAAATTTCACCAGGATGTCAATAGGTTTTATATAAACATCAACCGCAGCCTGGAACATATAATGTATAATTTACCTAAGAAGTACAAGCCACTTGCATATAAAGATGAGGTTTTCTCTGACTTTTTATCAGAACCTGAATCTAAATATCTAAGCACACAGGTATGCATGCAGTATACATTCACACATGGCTGGGATGGGTTGAGAAAGGTAAATCTAGTATAGGAGCACATAAGAAGGCACCCCAAGTCAAACAACGTCATACTTACTTTTCAATTATGGTGCCTTTCTCTTTCAAGTGGTCTTTATGTCTCTTTTCATCCCGATGGAGTTCCATTTCCAAAGTTTCATTATTTATCTGCAGTTGTCGGATCTGATTTTCCAGTTTATGTATTTCTTCAGCATGGGCCACTTTCACTGAAGCAAGCATTGCATCCTTTTCCCTGGCATAATGATCAGTTGCTGCATGCCTTTTTTTTAAAAAAGTGAATATTAAAAAGGCAGGTTTCTCATATGCATCCCATGATGCTACATAAACTAATCAAATATCAAAACCCTCCCATTTCACTTATATTTAAGCCTGATTTGGCCACGCCTCCTTCCAAAAGAATTGTCCACAGAGGCTCTAGAAGGTACTGGAACTTACTGTGCAACTAGGCTGGCTAGAGGCAAAACAGAACCAAGCTTGCTGTGCAGTCAAGAGCCAGCCTACACATTGCAGATAACAGTCACTCAAGCTAAAAGCATTTTAGTGTTCCAAGGAACTGATTCCAACAGACCTATGAGTCTGAGAAATTAGACTTCTGAATTAAATCCTTGCTTACATATAGATTGATCACACACAAAGCAAGCCAAATTAGAAACTATAGGAGCTGCAACTGATTGTTTCAACAATGAAAGTATTCTTTCTTCAAATGAGGACATCAGTAGAGCTAATCTAACAGTTTCTTCTAATAATGTGTAATGTTTTTAAAAATGAATGTTCCCAACAAATATAGCACATTATAAATATAGTATCATTTCTCAGAACAACTCACTTCCTCTCCAATATTTCTTTTTCTTTTTTCCAGCTCAGATGCACAGAATCAAGTTTCTTCTCTAAATCACGTATCCTGTATTGATAAATATTGATTGAAAATGTAACACATGCAAACAGATAGTACTTTAAAATGTTAGCCCACTCAGAATGGGAACAGAGGTGAAGAAAAATAATTTCCATTAGAAAAGTTAAGAACGATGAGGTGATAAGAGAAATCACACAACTGCAGACTAAGCCACCATCCAGAAGAAGCCTCGAAAGCAGAGATGGACAACATTTGCCCCTCCAGATGTTGCTGGACTAGAACTTCCACCATTCCTCACCAGAGACTACCCGAGATAGGATAGAGAAGGGTTTGCAGTCCAAAAAGATCTGGAATGCCACATACTGTATTTGCAGCCTCTGCTGTAAAGAAACACTGAACAGTGCCCACTTCTGAGGAGAGATGGGCAGAATAACACTGCACGTCATTTTCAAAGGCAGTATGTAAGGAACACATCAGTAAGAAGGACAAAAAGCTCAAACCGATAACTATCAGGTATATCCAAAATTTTGACTGTATAAAATTAAGGTCGTATCTTGTAGAGCCCACTGACTTCCACAAGGCTCACTTTTGAGTAGAAAGTATAGGATTGCTTTGGTAGATATTTATCCTTTGAGACTGCTAATGCACAATAATCTGGGAGTAAATATTACTGAACAAAGTGAGCCTTACTTCTGAATAAGCACATATAGAAACCTTCTATATAAATCATCTAAGAAGTATTGACTTGTGGAGAAACTCCTTGCAAAGCAATTGTGGGCTTCTTCTTAATGCTTAGGAGGATGGGTTTTACTCACTTCTCCCACTCAAGGCTTTTTTGTGAAGAGCTGCCCCCCCCCACACTTTATAAATGAACAGAGCAAGTCATGCATACAATACACATGGTTTATCCCACATATCTAGTTTGTCCCTAAAAGACCTTGGCTGATATCCTGTTGCTTAGCATAGTAAGTCACACTAGAATAGTTCTGTTGATTCAAATGGGCCTACCCTAGTTCTAATTTATTTTAGTATAGTAAGTATCGACTAGAGTAGGCCCATTTGAATGAATGGAACATATGGACAATTTGACCTACCATATCCCCACTGATTCAATGGGCCTGCTCTGCATTTCAGCCAAAGAGAGGTAAAGCTAGAAATGAACTGTTATTAGTCTTTAATGAATAGTACAATACCGAACATCTTTCACAGCTGCAACATCTTTTATTTCCCACTCTTTGCATTTGATTTCCTTCTCCAGCTCTGAATTAGTTGTTTCTGCCACTTTTAGTGATTCTGCCATTTTTAACCCAGCTTCTTTCACAGCCTCCAGTTCTTTGATCAACAACTTAACCTTTCAAAAGAAAAGAACAAAACACACAACCCATGCAATCCTTCTCTCATATGATTACTCAGACTACTGTCCAAAGGTAAAAAACATAAGTGCTACAGAATCCATAATCCTTAAAACACAATATTTATACTTGTTAGGTATACAGTTTCAAGAAGTTAAACACCTCTGATAAGTTGTCTGCAGTAGTAGATAATACATAAAACCCACCACTGGCTGCATCTTTCTACTTCAGAACTCAAAAGGAATTATCTGACATATGTTGGATAAGCCTTCCTTTAAAGGCTCAATTCAGACATCAAGCCAGAACAGTATTAAGAAAGCTGTACTATGGTTTGATATGTCTACAATGACAAGCTGTTTTATGAAGTTGGCACATCATAATAAAAAACAATGGTTTGAAGTAAGGTTGCCTGAATTAGCCATCAATATTTTTCTGCTGCATGTCGGCGGTGACTTGACTGTACGTAACAGCAGCATCTTTGTTAGGTCTGCTACATTACAGCTTACATGACAGCTAGAGGGCAGAGTGCTGAGCAGGGAGAAATGGAAACAGTTAAACTGTTCCAAGCCCTTCTTTCTAACAGGCCACAAGTGAAGTAACTAGAATGAATGGACACTTTATTAGCACCTTCACTTTCCTTGAGAAATGCATAATAATATTTGTGGGCCTTTGACATCCGAAGCGGGGTGAAACAGGGCTGTGTCCTCGTGCCAACTCTTTCTGGGATCTTTCATGCTGTCATGCTGAAGCACACTTTTTGAATTGCAACAGAAGGTGTCTACCTCCAGACTAGATCAAACAGAAAGCTCTTAAATCTCTCTAGATTGAGAGCAAAGACCAACGGCCAGCTGAAATGCATGTGGGAGTTCCTCTTCACCAATGATGCAGCTGTTGTTGCCCATTTTGCTGAAGAGCTCCAACAACTCCTGAATTGTTTTAGCAAGGCCTGCCAAGACTTTCAATTAACAATTGGAAAAAAAAAAAGTCATGGCCCAGGGCGTGGACTCATCTCTGAAAAAAAAAATAAGTCATGGCCCAGGGCGTGGACTCGTCTCCCTCTATTACCATCTCCACACAAGAATTGGAGGCTGTTCATGATTTCGCGTACCTTGGCTCAACAATCCATGACACTCTCTCTCTCTAAATGTCAAGCTGGGTAAACGCATAGGCAAAGCAGCTACCATGTTCTATAGAATCACAAAGAGTATGCCTTAATAAGAAGTTGACAGCATATACTAAGATCTAGGTCTTTAGAGCGAGTGTCCCGAGTACACTCCTGTACCGCAGTGAGTCCTGGACCCTTTGTGCATGACAGGAGAGGAAACTGAACACCTTCCATATGCATTGTCTCCGACACATTTTTTGTATCACCTGGCAGGACAAAGTTTCAAACAGAGTAGTCCTAGAACGAGCTGGAATTTTTAGCATGTGTACATTACTGAAACAGTGACGTCTACGTTGGCTCAGGGACGTTGTGAGAATGGCTGATGGTCGGATTCCAAAAGATCTCCTGTATGGAGAATTAGGGCAGGGAAAGCACCCCAGAGGAAGACCACAGCTGTGAAACAAGGATACCTGCAAGCTGAATCTGAAGGCCTTAGGAATGGACCTCAACAGATGGGAAACCTTGATATCTGAGCATTCAGCCTGGAGGCAGGCGGTACAGCATCGCCGTTGTTCATCATTTAGTCGTTTAGTCGTGTCTGACTCTTCATGAACCCATGGAGCACGCCAGGCCCTCCTGTCTTCCACTGCCTCCCATAGTTGTGTCAAATTCATGTTGGTAGCTTCGATGACACTGTCCAGCTATCTCATCCTCTGTCGTCCCCTTCTCCTCTTGCCGTCACACTTTCCCAACATCAAGGTCTTTTCCAAGGAGTCTTCTCTTCTCATGAGATGGCCAAAGTACTGGAGTCTCAACTTCAGGATCTGTCCTTCCAGTGAGCACTCAGGGTTGATTTCCTTTAGAATTGATAGGTTTGTTCTCCTGGCAGTCCAGGGGACTCTCAAGAGCCTCCTCCAGCACCACAATTCAAAGGCATCAATTCTTCGGCGGTCTGCTTTCTTTATGGTCCAGCTCTCACTTCCATACATCATGACAGGAAAAACCATAGCTTTGACTATTCGGACTTTTGTTGGCAAGGTAATGTCTCTGCTTTTTAAGATGCTGTCTAGGTTTGTCATCGCTTTCCTCCCAAGAAGCAGGCGTCTTTTAATTTCGTGGCTGCTGTCTCCATCTGCAGTGATCATGGAGCCCCAAAAAATAAAATCTGTCACTGCCTCCATATCTTCCCCTTCTATTTCCCAGGAGGTGATGGGAGCAGTGGCCATGATCTTAGATTTTTTGATGTTGAGTTTCAGGCCGTTTTTTGCACTCTCCTCTTTCACCCTCATTACAAGGTTCTTTAATTCCTCCTCACTTTCTGCCATCAGAGTGGTATCATCTGCATATCGGAGGTTGTTGATATTTCTTCCGGCAATCTTAATTCCAGTTTGGGATTCCTCCAGTCCAGCCTTCTGCATGATGTATTCTGCATATAAGTTAAATAAACCGGGGGACAATATACAGCCTTGTCATACTCCTTTCCCAACAATCAGTTGTTCCATATCCAGTTCTAACTGTTGCTTCCTGTCCCACATATAGGTTTCTCAGGAGACAGATAAGGTGGTCAGGCACTCCCATTTCTTTAAGAACTTGCCATAGTTTGCTGTGGTCCACACAGTCAAAGGCTTTTGCATAGTCAATGAAGCAGAAGTAGATATTTTTCTGGAACTCTCTGGCTATCTCCATAATCCAGCGCATGTTAGCAATTTAGTCTCTAGTTCCTCTGCCCCTTCGGAATCCAGCTTGTACTTCTGGGAGTTCTCGGTCCACATACTGCTGAAGCCTACCTTGTAGGATTTTGAGCATAACCTTGCTAGCGTGGGAAATGAGTGCAATTGTACGGTAGTTGGAGCATTCTTTGGCACTGCCCTTCTTTGGGATTGGGATGTAGACTGATCTTTTCCAATCCTCTGGCCACTGTTGAGTTTTCCAAACTTGCTGGCATATTGAATGTAGCACCTTAACAGCATCATCTTTTAAGATTTTAAATAGTTCAACTGGAATGCCATCACCTCCACTGGCCTTGTTGTTAACCAGGCTTTATAACACCCACTTGACTTCATTCTCCAGGATGTCTGGCTCAAGGTCAGCAACTACATTGTCTGGGTTGTTCGGGCTATCCAAATCTTTCTGATATAATTCTTCTGTGTATTCTTGCCACCTCTTCTTGATGTCTTCTGCTTCTGTGAGGTCCCTCCCATTTTTGTCCTTTATCATGTCCATCTTTGCACAAAATGTTCTTCTAATATCTCCAATTTTCCTGAACAGATCTCTGGTTTTTCCTTTTCTGTTATTTTCCTCTATTTTGTTGCATTGTTCATTTAAGAAGGCCCTCTTGTTCCCACCACATGTACCTGTAGCTGTGTATATCTGCACTTTCCATATGTTTTATTGGACTAGGTTACAGTCCTAACCACAGTCATATAGAAGGCCTACTAAACTATGGAACACTGCTTAACTCTACACAAATAGTTTCTGTAACATTTAGGACAGGGCGCTTCGGGGGGGCAAGCAAGGTGGGGGCCACAAACTATCATCCGGCGGGCCGCAAATGGCCCCCGGGCCGCATGTTTGAGACCCCTGATTTAGGAGAAAAGGAGACATTTGCCCACTTGGGCTGTGGGCAAATTATGTACTGTAAATGTTCACAATTCTTCTAAATAAATGTATGTCCCACAATTCAGAAAGTACTAATCAGTTCCTCTAGTGCTAGCTTTAAAAAAAGGTATTCCTTGGTTATATGCCATCTGAAATCGAGCACATCTGTTTTATGGCATGAAGACAGGAAAACAGTATCTTCTCAGGAATCTTTCCATGAAGCAGATTTAGATTCCTGCATTGAGCAGGGGGTTGGACTCAATGGTCTTAAAGGCCCCTCCCTACTCCATTATTCTATGATTTCACACTGCTGGATGGAAAGCCTGGCAACAAGTTACATTGATTACAGAATAACCGAAGTAGGAGTCATAGCAAGGTGTGTTGGTTTATTTTTTTAATGTAGCAGCATATCTTTCACATTTTGAAGACACGGTTACCTTAAGCTCATGAGACAGCACTTCATTGCTCATTTCATCTGCTTTCTGTCGAAACTCATGTTCCCTGTTTTTCATTGCTGTATCAAATTCAATCAGAAGTTCCTGAAACAAAACACACAAACCTTTATATACAGTGAAATCTCATATTTATGGTGCAACAGAACCAAAATTTCTAGAATTCAAAGATTGGAAAAATATAATAGCGTTTTGACTGCAAGTTTTGGAGGTGAGCAAACTCATGTTAAATAATTAATACACATCATCTGTTGCATACTAAGTCACACAACTTTTGTATAGCTTTGGGAAGCAAATTGCCTCAGGTTAACAAATGTTTGAAGACATTATATATTGAATTTAGAGTCATGCAACTCAAGATGGAATGGATAATGTCTATGGATTTTTTTTCACATGAGGCAACTCCCCTCTAAAAGTTATGCCTTTTGCGTTGCAGTGCAAAAGGATTTCAGCCCATGAATTATTTAAGCTTACATTAAAAATATGAAAGATAATGATCCAGATAAATTAGGGTAACAAGTATTCATTAATTTAATTTTTAAATTACTTAGTGTAAGAGGGCATAATAAAGAAAGTATAAGATTTAGCAGGGAGATATGTAATATTTTCTTTTTTTACTTCAGTGAAACATTCTACCCTACCCTTGTATAATTCATCAGCTACTTCAGCTATAGTCCTATATGTTTTTAATATCTCCTAAAATGTTATTACTTCTGTTGTTGCACCTCTGCCTTCCTTGTTATCCATTTTTCCCAAATGTTTACAGAAATGCGGGTTTTTTTAATTGCCCTCATTTTTACTCTTCCGGAACAATAACATTTAGAATTTGGGGACAATTCTGGAATTAATTCTTGTAAATTATCCTTAAATTAAGTGATATGACAGTATATGCATTCTAAAATAAATGAAATGAATAATAAATTAAATTGTCTTAAAATAGCTGACAGCTCTTTTAATGCTGCACAGAAAGGTAGTAGGAACTGAATCTGGAAATCAAAGACACAGTGATTATTGGCAGAGACTGAAGTGTTTATTTAGCCTTTGCAACTGCTCCCGATTTATAGCTCTGACCTTCATGAAATTTCAAGGTTGGTGAAGTTACCAAGCATTTTAGCTGTTGCCTCATGGAAATAATTTTATATTATCTCATTTTACTAGACATAACCTCACCATTTTTTTCCTAAGAGGAAGCTGCTAGAATGGAAAGAAGAGCAAAAGCATGAATACTTACTAATACATAGGGTGATGATTTCAGTGCTGCCCATTGTTTATCGTATTTGTATAGGGAGATATTTAGAGCTAGAGTATTATGTGGTCATCCCCCCCCCAAGAAAGTGAAATGCAAAGTAACACCTTTATCAAACTTCTGTACCTGTCTTTGCAAAGCAAGTTCGCCTTCTACTTCCTGGAGCTTCCTCTCCAGTTGTTGTTTCATGTTTTCATATTCCTCACGAGAACGATTAATATCAGTATCCTTAGAACTATGAAATGAAGCACACTCTTATTAAAAAAACAAATTAGAAGTGATCTGATAGAAATGTAAAAAAAAAGGTTTTGTAGCTAAATTTATGATACCTATAAAAATATGGGTCTAAGAACTTACAGATGTAACTAATTCATTATTGTGTTTTGGAGGCAATTTCAAATCCAGCAAATACTTTTTGGGTCTGTGCTTTTAAAAAAGACAAATTTATATTTCCATTTCCATTCTCTTGAATCAGGATGAATTCATAATAATAACCACAGTTGTCATTCAACTATATTCCTTTTACGTTGTGCAAATTAATTTTTCTTAAGTAAAAGCATGGCATAAGCAAGAATATCAAGACTTTACATATTTTAAGCAACATAAACCAAAACACAGAATTATATCATTATACAAATCATATATGCTCCAATGGTATCTGCCACAATGAAGCAGACAATAGAAGTTACCAGACACTGCTTATGTTGCAAAGTGGGAATCTTACAGCCAAGGAGGGTCAGACACCTACAGTTAAACAGGCAGGCATGCAAACTGCTGACCTGTGCCTCAGATAAACTATGTATATGTGCACAAGTACTCATACATTCCATATGGCATATGTATTTCTGGACTGAAGCCACAAATATATCTATAGGAACTTTGTAAGATGAATAATGTTCTTCTGTGCCTTTTATTTGTAATTGGTATGATGTTAGGGGAGAGGCTGTAGAATTAAAACCACTCCCTTACTCTACAGATATCTCTTTCCACCTGAAGTAAAAAAAAATCAGCCCAGAGACTTCTGTAAGGTAACTTCTTGTTTTGCATTACAAGTAGAACAGTGCAGATCTCTGTCATACATTATTTTTAAACAGGTCAGAGCCAATCGTATTTAAGCAGAGCCCCCCCCCCATAAGATATCTACCTATTATATTCAGGAGCATCATTTGAGGTTTTAGAGAAGACACAATTCAACAAGGGGGACTTTGGGACCGCCAGGACGCTGGAGTCCCATATCTCTTACTCTACAGATATCTCTTTCCACCCGAAGTAAAAAAAAATCAGCCCAGAGACTTCTGTAAGGTAACTTCTTGTTTTGCATTACAAGTAGAACAGTGCAGATCTCTGTCATACATTATTTTTAAACAGGTCAGAGCCAATCGTATTTAAGCAGAGCCCCCCCCCCATAAGATATCTACCTATTATATTCAGGAGCATCATTTGAGGTTTTAGAGAAGACACAATTCAACAAGATCCAAAGCCCACTACTGAAATTGGAATTAATCTGCAAAAAAGCAGTGTATCCAAAAAACGTTGTTGTTTTGAATAAGAACTATAGCAATGTTATCTACAAAACGTAAATACACTTTTTTTAATTAAATAAAAGGGCTTCATGTCTTTGTCACTTATAACAACAGTCATTCATTGGACAAAGCCAGTGATTTGGCACAAAAATAAAGGTGATCAAAAGAAACAATAAGATACTGGAATCGGGTGGTCATGTGCAAGTGCGAAATGCAATGCCCAAGCATTGTAACCCTACTATTACAAACATGCACGATCCACTTTTGTCTGTCTAAATATCTTAAGAGCTACAAGAGTACCCTGCATAAGAGGTAGAGTCCTTCCCCTCCCCCCAAAAAAGTATTAAAAACCAAGAGTGGAACCTTAGAAAATATTGTTACTAGAGTCAACCCACGTTGACTCTAGTAACAATAGACCAACCAACCCACGTCAAGAGGTAGCCCAACAGTGTCATTGCATGGACATCCTAAACCAATGAGACTGTCACTCATAATCCTTTACAAATGGCAGCTTCATACACAGTGTAGTTCACCCTCAAACACCTGTTTTCTGAGCGTGGTAGGGGTGGCACTTCTTTGGACCAAAGGCTTACTCCTTTATTTGTTTTATACTGCAAGTTTTCCATGTACAGTTAGATCTGCAGGCTAAGACTTGCAACTTTTGCCATAAAAACATGACACAGGGAAGCCATGTCATGACTGACACCCTTAGCCATGACATTTACTGTAAGTAGCAGTAAAATTATTTTGCCTAAGCATCTAACTTGACAGACATGCATTGTGCTTTAACTATACTGATAATGGAATTAGGTCAGACTGACCTAATCAGCCTTGATTTGGAAGACTAAGTTTTAATTGTACTTATGTAGCATCATACCTTTCTTACCTTTCTGTATGTTTTCCCTCGCTTTAACCATACTGATAATGGAATTAGGTCAGATTGACCTAATCAGCCTTGATTTGGAAGACTGAATTTTAATTGTACACACCTTTCTTACCTTTCTTACCATCACACCTTTCTTACCTTTCTGTATGTTTTCCCTTCATTGTTTATTTATAAGTTTACTGTTATATGTCTTAGTTTATTAAGTTGTAAACTGCCCAGAACAGTGCATCACGCCAATGGGATGGTATATAAAATAAACAAATACCTGTGAAGATGCCTCAACTCTAACTGGTGTTCCTTAAGCTTTTGCTGGTATTGATATTGCAGAGCCTCTTGTTTTCTTCTCTCCTGAGCAAGTTCCTCTTTCAACTTATCCACCTGTATTCTAAGTTCACTAACTTCTGCCTGTTTAGCATTTTCAACCATTTTCAACTGTGTAATCAACGTCTCATAGTGCTCCAGCTCTCTGTCTCTCTCTTCTAAGACTCTAAGATTATAGGTGAAATCTTCCTTTAGCTTGTCAAAATTCTTATGCATTTCTTGAAGTTGTGTTTGGGTTGCTTGTAGTGTTGTTTTCTGAAAACAGATCTGGTGAATTTGTAGTTCTTTCAGTTCTTGTTCTTTGCGAATAAGAAGCTCATTTAGTTCTTTCTCTGTGTGCAGCATTGTGGAATCTGAGTAAGATGAGAATTGGTAATTAAAGCACAGAAAAGGGTTGTCTGACATATTTTTTTAATTTCCACGTAAAGATATGGTTTTTTAAAGATATGAGTTCTCATAAATGTTTTGCCATTCCCTTCTTCCGGTAGTACCTTTGGACGGCACAGCCTGCCCTACAGGCTGGGTCTTCTCCCAGGAGGTATACTGGTAATTAAAGCACAGAAAAAGGTTGTCTGACATATTTTTTAAATTTCCAAGTAAATACATGGTTTATAATAAACATAGTTACCTTATGAAAATACTGACCACAACTTAGAATAGATTGCAGCCACATCATTTTATTTTATTCCAAAATAGGAATCCTTTGCATAATTAATAATTATGTACCATCAAATCAATTCTGACCTATGGTGACTCTTCCTTTGGACGGCACAGCCTGCCCTACAGGCTGGGTCTTCTCCCAGGAGGTATAGTGGGGAAAGGACATGCAACACTTCCCTGCTTATCCTCTCAGAAATTACCCCCAAACAGCTTGTATTCCCAACTAAGGGATGTGGTGGCGCTGTGGGCTAAACCGCAGAAGCCTGTGCTGCAGGGTCAGAAGACCAAGCAGTCGTAAGATCGAATCCACGCGACGGAGATAATTAATAATTATGTACCATCAAATCAATTCTGACCTATGGTGACTCTTTGCGGGGGCTTTTTTAAAGACATGAGTACTCATAAATGTTTTGCCATTCCCTTCTTCCGGTAGTAGTTTTCGACTACACAGCCTGCCCTAAACTACACAGGCTGGGTTTTCTACCAGGAGGTATAGTGGGGAATCAAACTGGGAAAGGACATGCAACACTTCCCTGCTTATCCTCTCAGAAATTACCCCCAATGTAATTAACACTTTGTATTCCCAACTAAATGTCTAATGAATTGGTACACCTCAATGAGTCAAATCCCCTACAGCACATCCTGCAAGAGAGGGTAGCCAAGATAACTCAACATGTGTGTGGCTGCCAGACTTATGTGCCAGGCCACTTGGTCAACCTTCACCAAACTGCACAATCCGTGTATGCCACCAGAGGGAAGGACTAGTAAAATAGCCTTGAATACTTAGAACATTTTGGAGATTTACCCTAAATCATAATTCATGTGAAAAAAACTATTATGGAATTTATATTGAAGTGCTTCTTATTGAAGGAAGAACAACCTTTAGAAAATGGCCAAAGAGCCTGAAAAACCCACAACAACCATGCTTCTGAACCCTTAGTATACTATAACTAAAAATGGGTGAGTAGGATAATAACTTTTTACTAAAAAGGTTGTTTACTGATGAAGGATAGGCAAAACAAAACAAAATCCAGCAAGTAAAGCTCTGATGACCATGGAATTTAAGCAAGGGAAAGCTGTGTCTTGTAAATTTTTATGATAGTTGAAAAACATTTTGAGACCCTATAAAGGTATTACTTTTCTTTTGGTTCCGAGCATCTAGCAAATATAACTGAAAGTCTGTTCATTTATCTATCCTGTTCACTTTACTTCTAAACACATGTGATTATGCACCCAAGTTATAAACAGCATCAGATATAAATGTATACATCTTTGTGTGCACGCATGCTATCTTTATAAAGAATTTTATATATTTAAGTTAATAAAAACAAAAGCAAATGGATTGGATACAGACTGTAATCCTACAATCATTTAACTAGGGATATTCCCCAGTGTATTTAGTGGACTTATTTCTGACAAGATAGGCATCACACTGAATTGTAAATTAACTGAGATTTATTTAAAATAGTGCAATTTAAATTGCATCAACTTCAGCTATGGCTACAAGCAAATAAATTAATCTGGATCCAACCCTTCATGTGAAAAATATGTGGAATTTCTCACACACCCCAGTCTCTGAACAAACTAGAATTTGATGCTAGCCATATGCAAAGTGTTATCAGAAGACTTTCATAAGTGCTCTTTGAAAAAAAAATCCCTGGCACATTCTTCACTGGTTAAATTTAGACAAGACCTTCCAAATAGTCCTAAGAGATAAAAACTGAGCCAATTGTCACTAGGTTTTACTTCCTGTCCTTCTCAAATGAGAATCATATTTGTTTATTAAGCTCAGACACTTTTTCCTTAAAGAGGGTTTGGATAAAACAAACTAATTATTGCATCTTTTATATGTTAAACATACAAAGAATAGTATATTGAATAAAGAAAGCTAAGAGCACTCACCCAATCAACCTTTCAATTATAAAATATCCAGTTTATTACAAATACTGAATGTTCTTAAGCATGAATTAGTTCAAGTATTTATTACTAAGCAAATGCACAAGTGATAAATGAATGAAGAGACATGCAAAGATCATGTGGGGAAAACGTATGGAGATATCATTAGTGTCCCTAGAGTCTGTATACATGATGCTGTGGTTTGATTATCACGGGACACTGACATTTTCATCAGGCAAACAACCATGTGACACTTAGGATCCATTTTCCAAAGTCTGCCCCCCTCAAGTTTCCTCTGTTTTAAGGATGACAAATTGGAAACCAAAGTACAGTAATAGGAGAAAGTAAGGGTGTCTTGCTGCAGATGTTATCGGAAAAGTTTTAAAACATGGGTTTGAATACATATCCGATTAAACTGCCAAACTTCCCTAAGCATACTTTGCTTACTTGTATTGCATTTTATAATAAATCAGGTATCTCATCCTACTTGATAAACAACTAGATTTATTTTCATAATCGAGCAAGAGAGACTTGCGTGGCTTCTTCCAGTGGCTGAGCATTCACACCAGAAAGAGACATTAAAGACTGCCTGTGGCCATACAAGAAAAACCCTTAATGAAATCATCTGAGTGGCACATCCATAGTTTCTCTCGCCTTCGGCAGCATACAAATCGGCTTGTATTCTTTGGCGATGGGTGTTCAGGATCTAAGCACGGGATTGCAAACTGAAAAGCCTGCCTCATCAGCCACCTCTCTGCAGCACCGTCATATGCTTTGCACTCTCGATAATCATTTATCCGGAAACCCTAAGGCTGCTTCAAGGCTCTGGGAACCTTCCTCCACCTGAATTTCTAGGCGTCACGACCCGCACACACACACACACACACACAACCCACTCTCTCAAGTTCTCCATCTCAAAAGTATAGCATGATTAAAGGGAGCCCAGATTTTGTGGGGAAAATGTCTCCCTATAAAAGACCGTGAAATTTGCGAAGAAAATGTCTTCATAAACTCACCCCTCTCGATGCCAATATTTTTTTCAAAATTGTTTCACCATCGGACAAACCGGCCAGGTTACTACTTAAAAAAAGAGGATGTATCAACACGGAGCGGGCCTCGTTTCCATAGAAACTGAAGCCACTGGTGCATCCGAAAAAAGCGTCCCCACCTCCGCGGCCAATGCTTTGAACCGTTGGGACCTCCCCCCCCTCTGGCTCCTCCCCGCTAATTAACTGCTTGGTTCTCCGCGTGGTCTTGCGAGGCAAACAGAACCTCCATCTTCCTTGTGGGGCTGCTTGCCGAGGAGAGAAAGAAGGGCTGCTAGAAAGGCAGCGCTCGCCTGCATGACGGGCTTTCTAGCTCTCGTTTTCTCTCTCTCAGCGGCCAGAGAAAAAGCCCCCAACTCGAGTGGCAAGGGGCAGAGCCGCTCCTGGGGAGTGCGGCGCTTTAAAAGTGTAATGGCACTGGTTTCCTTGATTTAAAAGGGCAGTGTCAAGATCCCATTCTTCCCTCACAGCAGCTGGAGTTACGCCTCATCCTGTTCGATTTCTTACCCTTCTCTCCCATCCGCAAGAGAACACAAATTAGACTTAAGAGCGGAAAGAAGATTATTTCTGTAAAGAAAGAAAGGAGGGGGGACTTTTACCCTATCTGTACACTTTTCAGCCTCTCTTTCCCTTCGCCACCTTTCCTTCTTTCCCTCGGTTTTTTTTCTTTTTAAAAAAGTATTATGCGAAATGCTTACATACCATCCAATGCAATTATTAACAAACGTACAAACAAGTCCTAAGGATGAGGTCAAAGGGCCGTAGGAAATAAAGGTCCATTCGTTGTAGGCAGGCTTTTTCTTATACAGTGGGGTCTTGACTTAAGAACGGCTCGAGTTAAGAACATTTTGACTTAAGAACCGCTCTCATAGGAAAATATTGACTTGACTTAAGTACTTAGATTTGAGTTAAGAACTGAAAAAACCCACGTGGGAGGCAGGGAAAGTGCAAAATGTGAGAGCAGGCTTTTTCTTATATCCGATGATGGTGCAGCAGGAGAAATAAGCTTTCCATTAGAACAGTTTGCAAAGGGTTTTTGCTTCCCAAAATTAAAGGGGGGGGCAAGGGAAGGGGAAGCAGATAGACAAAACAGTGTGGCTTTTGAAAACTAAATTGTTGTAGGTCAAAAAGCAAGAAGTGGATTTTTATCAAGGAAAGTTTTTGGGTGAAGGAGTCTCTGCCTTAGAGTGTTTTGGGGTTTGAAATGCACTGGTATGTGGAAGACACCAACAAAAACCAGCTGGCTTTCCTGGACTGTGCAGTCACCATAGGATCCAGTGGCAGTTTAGGAATCAAAATACTGTATACAGAAAACCTACACACACTGATAAATACCTGTGGTTTGACTCCCTTCACTCATTGCAACAAAAACTAGGGGTCATCAGAATGCTAAATCACAGAGCAAGAAACATCACCTCCACAGAAGAAGAAGAAGAAGAAGAAGAAGAAGAAGAAGAAGAAGAAGAAGAAGAAGAAGAAGAAGAAGAAGAAGAAGAAGAAGAAGAAGAAGAAGGAAGATGGACATCTGAGGACAGCCCTTAAGGCCTGTGGATATCCAAAATGAGCCTTTAACAAGGTAATGTCCCCATCCAGCAGGACAATTGAACAGTCTAAGACCCAGAACTGACGGAAGAACCTGGTCATTCCTTACATGGCAGGTGTGTCTGAAAAGTTCAAAAGGATTTTTGGTAAACACCACATACTCATGCACTTCAAACCCACAAACACATTAACACAGAGACTCTTTCACCCAAAAGACCGGACACCAAAACACAACAGGAGCAATATAGTACAGTATATGCGGTTCAATGCAAAGAGGAGTGTTCAGAGCTCTACAGGTACATTGAAAAAACCAAACATCCATTAAACAGGAGAATGACCCAGCACAGGAGGGGGAGTAGCAATGGCTCAGAACCACAGTCAGCAGTGCCCCTTGATTTGAAGGACAAAGGACACTCACTTGATGACCAAGATGTACTCATTTTGGACAGCGAAGATAGGTGGTTTGAGAGAGGGGTCAGGGAGGCAATACATGTGCATATAGAAAATCTCTCACTCAGCAGGGGTGGAGGCCTTGGATACAATCTCTCTCCTATTTATCATTCTGCCCTTTCACCCGTCCCCAGAAAGATCAGGACTGCGCCCACCAGAAAAACCACAGTTCATGACTGTTAACGACCCATGATAATGGGTGGAGAAGGACAACCACAGTTTATGACTGTTAACGACCCATGATAATGGGTGGAGAAGGACTGTAGAGATGGGATTTTCACTCAGAGGCCCCCATCCACTGTCCATCTAACGAGCCTATTAGACCAGGGGGATGTGAAACCAAGTGAAAGATATATCAGGGATCTCCTACCAACTTTCCTCAGACTGAAGAAGCAACTTGGTTGAGTAGCAAAATGTTTCAACCTAATAAGAAAGAAGTCTAGTTGCCATGACTCAGTTTCCATATACTGTAATCTCACCTGGATGACTGAGAGCTTCACAAATATATCTTCCAAGACAGGGGTCTCCAAATGGGCCACATCCAGCCCACCTGACCATGTGTGTGCATGCATGTGTGTGTGCATGCATGCAGGCAGGCAGACATGAGTGCATGTGTGCGACCATTTGTGTGCATGCATGTGTGTGTGCATGCACGCAGGCAGGCAGACATGAGTGCATGTGTGCAGGCACATGGACGGGAGTGCATGCATGCGGGTGGGAGTGCGCACATATGCTCGTGTTCCTTCAGCCCTCTAAAATATATTATGTGGACCTCCTTGTGAAAAGTTTGTAGACCCCTATTCTAAGAAGTGGGGTGCCCTGATATTTCTGTTTGCTTTGAAGTAGACTCTCCTTTTTTTGGATTAGGAACAGTGGACAGAGTTTTAGATTTTCTGTTCCCTATCTATGCATGACATCAAATACAGCTCCCCCCATGATTTGAAAAATAAAAAAAAATGGAAAAATGTATATACTGTATGTCCAATATAGTTTTCCTTTTTAAAAAAAAACCATGTGGGATATGGATATTTAACATACCTTTATGGAAAAATGTATATATGTCCAATATAGTTTTCCTTTTTTAAAAAAAACATGTGGGATATGGATATTTAACATACCTTTTAAATCCTATGTCTGTATGCCCAAACAATTACGATAATCCTGCATCCAGTTAAACACGGCTTGGCTGTGCAATCCTAAGCATGCTTGTTGAACAGAATGCAGAAATCTGTGCTATGATGTATAATGACAGTGCATAGATAATTTTTATAGATATGTTTTAGCGCTTGAAACTGATTCAGTTTGAACATATGTAATATTTGCTGAGTTCTGCTCATAATATCTTCATATATGCTAGAGTCCTTCAAAAAATCAATGTACAATATGCAAAAAGAAATAAAAGATTCAGTTGTTAAAAGTAATGTTTTTCCCTACTGCCAGGTTGGAATCTACAAACATTTGTTATCCCTAAATGTTTATGGTCAGGAAAGTCTCTTCATTCAGTTATAAATTTATGTTTTCTCACTCTTGCTCAGAGGAAGTTACTTAGTTCTGAATGAGGAAATGTTAGTATCAAATAAATCAATGTGGGAACAACTGCATTTCCTGTAGTGGGAACTGAAAGATATATTCCCTAATGACGTAAGAGCAGGAAAGAAAGGAGAGGTATTGGGGTTTTTTGCACATTTTTGCTGTCTGGCTAGTAATGATATGACTAATTTCCGGGTGTACTAGTGACTATTCAAATAAATGTAGCACAAGTTTAAACACTACAAAATTTAAAATTGCCTGAGAGAAAATCTGTTTGCTGAGGCACTTTAATACAAGGGCAAGAGACTTGGGTAATTTTTATGGGGAACAAGAGAATCATCAAGGTTTTTCTAGAATATTTCTTAATCATTCCTCATTTGAAAGTTTAAAAAAGTGTAATGAATTGCATGGATTTGGAAGACATCCAACAACTGGCTATATTCAAAGGCATGGCATGCCTTTGATCCTCAGCAGAACCACACTGCTAGTAAAAGATTTCCTTCCTGTTCTGCTATATTTACCTTTACAGGAACACTATGCTGGAATGCCACTCCTCTGAATGTTATAAATTTGTACTCCTTTATTTAAAAGAGGAGAGAGAAAGAGAGAGATAGAGATGGGAGGCTTCTTGTTGTTGGGATCCCCCTGCTCCGCAATGGGTTAATGTCAGGAGCTCTTCTCCTAGGACTACATTTGGAATCTGCAGTCAAAACCACTTGGTTGATTTAACCTCTTCCAAACGCTTGCATGGTCACAGATATTTTGTTTTGTTTGTTTTTCAGCCATATAATAAAACATGATTAAAATGTTATGAACTCTTCAGACAATTACAGGGTAATGGAGGGAGAAAAGTTTGTTTGTCTATTGCGGTTTTCACATTCCAGTGCAGCTAAAGTGGGGGGTGGGAGATGTCAAGACTGTTTTTCGTTTAAATGGGATGGAAAAGGTACAAGGGAAAAATATATTTAGGAAGAATATTCAAAATTTAAAACATCACAGTGTTTAGATTGCTGCATTAAGTAGGTCATGGAACTGCACTGGAGAGATAGATGCGTTGGCCAAAATCCTATTGCTTAGCCCAGCCATTCTCAATGGGAGACATGTGGCCCCTTGGGAGGCACTGGCTCTTTTGAAGGGGGCTACAGACAGGAAACAATTCTTCACACATCACATAATAAGGTTTGTTATGTGACTTTATACAGTCCTGATTCAGCCTATATTTTTTGCACATAAGGTTTGTTATGTATACAGTCCTGATTCAGCCTATATTTTTTCATATCATGTTTATGGCTGTGGCCAAAAAAGGTTGAGAATGGCTGGTTTAGCCTACTAAACCGCACTAGAGTAGGTCCATTGAATTAATGAGGACTGGGTAAGCCAACTCCTCTGTAAGTTCCATTGTGCACTAGAGCAGGTCCATTGAATTAATGAGGACTGGGTATGCCAACTCCTCTGTAAGTTCCATTGGTTTATTTGAGACCCATCAATAGACGCGTATAGGACTGCACTATAAATCGGGGCAGTGATGAGCACCCAAGAGTAGACTGTGCACATTGTGTAGATCCTGGGCTGGAAGTAGGGTGCTTCTAGTTTGTTTGTTTGTTTGTTTAATCAGGCAATTGCCCTACTTAAAGCATTGACTATTACAGGAACTTTGTATCTTCAAATCTGTAATCTTTCCATGTTTTCCCATTCTATCTTTCATTTGCCCACTCATCCCCCTCCCCCGAAAAATCTGAGGGTGGTAGTTGTCTCATTTCTAATCCCATGAGGATTAGAAACCTACACTGAGGAAGGTCATTTAA